CGCAGCCGCGAAACGCAGCTCCAGGCGGGCCCGGCTCGGGCGCTCAGCAGATTCCACAGCCGACAGGTCGAAGACGACTGTCCACTCAGGGCAATGCCCCAAAGCTGAGGCAGGATCCGAGGCCCGGGTGGGCGCACCTGGGGAGGTAGGGACAGGACTTGGCTCGCGCTGCGTCTCCGGCCTGCCCATGGGGTCTCGGTTAGGGACAGGGAGGAAGGTGAACGCTGGGGCTCGGGAAGCACTGTCTGTAGGAAGGGTGAAGCACTGTCTGTAGGAAGGGTGTGAAGCGGTGGGGTGGGCTGATGGAGTGGGGGCAGGGCATGAGTCCCAAGGAAGGCGCCCTGCAGCGAGTGGTGGGCTGCCCTCGGCGGGGGACATAGGAGGGAGGGGTGACCGAAGTGGGAGACATGAGCCAGAGCCTGGGCCCCTGGGGAAGCTATGCTAGGGTGTGGGGGTGGCATCTGCAGGAAGGCATTAAATAGTGTCAAGTGTTGGGGGTGGGGGTGGGCTGGGGGCAGGGCTTCAGCATCAAGCAGGGGAACTGGTCTTGGGAACCCCCTGACGTGTCCCCGGCGTGCAGAGGATGAGGAAAGGGTGGGGTGCGGTGGCCGAAGTTGCTAGCAGCCTGGACAGGGCGGCTGGGGACCTTCGGAGTCGCTTGGGCATCCCCGGGCCACTCTCGAGGCTCGCCCCGCGAGGTCTGACCTCCAGGACCAGTGCCCCCAGCGAAAGCCCCACTCACCGCGGTCCGGGATGTGGCGCACGATGTTTCCGGCGACCCCCAGCTCCTCCACGTGGCACGGTTGCAGGGTGACCCCTGGGGACATCCGCCGCGAGCCAGACCTGGTCTCCTGGGGGTCCCGGCGTCGAAACAGGCGCCACATGACCGGGGGAACCGGCCGGAGCCTGGGGGCGCCCTGGGGCGCATCGCGCAGCCCGAGAGCCTGGAGCAGGGCGGCGGCTGGGCCTGGGGGGACGGGGGCGCGGGTCGGGGGTAGCGAGGGCAGCAGGAGGACCAGGAGGAGGAGGAGGTGTTGGCCGCCGGGACCTTGCCGCGGCGGTAGCATCTTCCTCCCAGGTGTTGGCCAGAGAGTGCACAGGGTCCGCCGCGGCCCGGGACCAGTGGACTGAGGGCGGGGTCGGTGTCCCGGGAGGGGCAGGGGTCCTGGGGGGGGCGTGGCCAGGGAATGAAGGCAGGATG